TACTAATTATTGACAATAATGTTATTGATATAACATTCGCAAATTCCAAAATAAATGAACTAAACTATTCATTAAATGAGAAGTAGCAGAGAGAAAAGGAAATCTAATTCTTATCAGTTAAAATTCAACATATCGTATATCATGTTAACGTACAGCCTATGTACAACTTCTTGCATGGGAAGTACATTTATCAGAATATTATAAATTTAAACTTAGCTGAACTTTAAGACTAAATTATTTTAATAATTTCAAAATTTGTTTTTATATTTGTCAGATAAATCGTGTTTGAAATATTTGTTTCTTGATTTTCCAACTACCTTTTTTATTACTAAAGCTTATCGATTTTAGAAGAGGTCCTTCCTTTACGCCCAGACACATCAAGAGAAGTATTGAACTCCTGTAATTACTCCGATTTTTTTAATATTTGTAAACTTCTCAAATTAACCTTGCATAAAAGTAAAAATTCCTTTTTTGTGTAAATATGTAGAAAAAAAATAAATATTAATAGTGTTATCGTTATCTTTGAATTGCCTAAAGTGTGCACTTCTTTTATATTGCACCAAAGTTTTTGCCATTAGTAACAAAACTAACTGTCACTGTAAGATAATACACAATGGTAAACTAAAAGTCTATGACATTATGTCTTCGAAATAAAAACTTTATACTTTTTACTTCTTTTAAGAATTTATGCATTTAGTGTCTGTCAGTTAAGTCACTTAAACAAATTGTAATGCTGCACTTAAAAATAAACATTTTAATATGAAAATATTTGAACCCGCAGTATAAGTGAAATTATCCTTGTTACTACATATCCCAGAGACCATAAAGGTTGAAATAAAGGTTGCTTAGTATAAACTTTAACCAGCGATGTTAGTCCTAAATAAATAAAACTTTCAGCCTATATGTAAACAAATATAACTACGTGTGATTATATCCTACACTCAGAATTTACCTTCACTTTATATTTACAATAAATTAGGTAATGTAGATATAATCGCAGTTGTATCTGATGTCAAAAATGTTGCTTCAGCTTTCAACACAAACGGAAATCAATTTAGCTTCAGGTTAGATAATTTAATGGGCAGACCGGGTTTTCTCTAGTTATGTAAATATTGTTACATATTTCTTACATAGTTGTTGACTTATTGTCTAATATTAAATAAATAATGTCATAAACTACCATTTGACAAACTACTCATACTTTTTTTGGGAAAAAGTTTACAAATGCACAAATCTATATTAAATGCGTATTAGCCATCGTTTATTTATTTAGTATTTGAAGAGGTTGAACCCAAAGGATATATTCTATTAAGAATTTTCTAAATAATATTTTTATAAAGGATATTTACATTCAGTAATTTTAATAAATCATGCGGTATTAATAGGGTATTATTGTTTTTTGTTAAATTTAAGAAAATAATCCGAATACACAGTTAAAAAACTACCAACTTTCAATGAAATGCACTCAAATCGATGGTGTGTGTAGTTTATTTTAAACATTGTCACCTTACCTTCTAGCCAGTTAGTTATCAAGGCACTTAAATCTCAAAAAACATAAAATACTTGGACAAAACAAGTAGTCATCTTACCTTCTAGCCTGGCAGTTATCAAGACACTCAAATTTCAAAAAACTGAACATATTTGGACAAAATGATCAGGTATGAATTGTATTGTATCTGACACATACCGACATTAAAACAAAATAAAAAAAAAACTACCTTGCAAGAAAGTGTTTAGCAGCCGTACTTCCAGGACCAAAATCCTTCCATATTCTGCAAATGAATAATGTTGCCCTACTACTACTGTTACTGTTATCTCCACTACCCTACTAAATCTACGATGCTTTTCACATTCCGTACGACTTAGTTCAATATAATTAGATTTAAACTTAACTAAGAACAACTTAACAATTTACACAGTAATTTTGATATGACACTATAAATTGAACTATCAATAAAATAAACTAGGAAGCATTTCTAATGGACTCTGCGGGTTTTGCAAAGAGCAAGAGAAGCTCTCTCAGCACATGCTGAGAAAGTGCTCTCCACTAATATGTTAGTTATAGAAACACTTGAAATACACATAACACCCTATAATGGATTAAATCTCGTTAAAAATACGACAAAAACTACTATTTATTAGGGAACTAGAATTGAAAGGATTACTCAAAGCCTATGAAGTGAACACAATACATCTTAAGGCTGATATAATTTTATAAAAATGTATCCCTAAAAATGCGAATTCTTTTTATTTATCATTTGTTATAAATATAAGCGTAATGGCAGCGATCTTAATATTTAAATTGATTTCTAGGCATATAAAAATGGAGGAATGAATACTGATATCACTAACACATATACTTACGAAAGCTAGCTCATGCTAAGAACATAACCAATTTATAATTGGTATGGATAATTTCATTAATGTTGTGAATACAAGCCTAAAAGCCAACAGTCTATACGCCTATGTAGCACAAAAGTGGTCGCGGTGCTCTGCTCAAATGGGAGCTAGTACCCTGTTCTTTCTTATTCTTATACGCCTATATGTATTCATATTTGCATCGATCTTCAATCATATAATAATAAGGAAATGAATTTTGATATCGTTATAAAATTTTACTAGAACAAAGTGCCATGCTATTCATAGAGTTAATCTTGTACCTTATTGTTGTACCTATTGTTATTAATTATACTTAATACGATTTTTGGAACTAGCAGAGACTTTGAGCCATAAAATACCTTAAGTCTCTTTAAGGCAATATACCTATTAATTAATTTACTACACATTATATAAATGACAACAATGCATTATACTTTGCCTCTTTGTACTCTTACAAAGAGTACAAAACTCACTCCAGTTTTTCTTATATATAATATATCTTTGTGACAACATTTGTCAATCAAAAAAAATAAAGATAAAATTTTTCTATTAACCACAAATACTTTTAAAAGCAAAAGTTCATATTTGTAGCGCCTCAATGCACAAAAACATGAGTTTATTTACAAAATAATTATACAAAAAAATCATATATATTGGAATAATAAAAAACTGTAATAATAATCAAATAAAAACCAAACGCAGAAGGAACCACACTCTTAGGTAAAGATTTGAAAACTTACCTTCGAGAAATAGTCCATGCACGTATACACCCTCCGTTGGATACTCGGTTATGTCCTCTTTGTTGTAACGTGTTATTTGGTTTTGCAACACCACGGAGTCGAGAGCCCAACCTTTATGTGCTCGTGTTACTTCCTTTTATTCCCACGATAATTACATTTTATGCGACGTTTCACGTTCAAAGGATGCATGCCGGTTTGTTACCGATTGCGGCGGCAATGGTGGCAGCGATGGCAGCGGTGGCGTATGAAGAATAAAATAGGAAAAACGCAAAAATATAAAAATTGCGGAAAATTTATATTGAAGTGTGTTACGTTTTGTTTCTTTTGGTGTATAGTGCCGTGACTAGTACGGCTGGGATATATATATGGCTTTAATAAGGATTTCAATATTTGTATTTATGGTCACAGAATATGCAAAGTTTAAGTAGGCATGCAACATGGAACAGTTTTTGCGTCAACTAACATTTGCGTAGATAACCTTTGCTATACCTTTGATTTATAAACAAATGCATGCAGAGCAAACTGTGTTTATAGTAAGTGTTGTCTACTTGTACATCCTGTGTATCCTGTGTATTAAGTGCTTTAGGCTATCTTCTGCCATACAGTAGAACATTTATTTCTATACCACTAACTTTTCTATGCTTTTTCTCACAAGAAAGTAGTTTAATGACGGTGTATGGTGGCACTAACATCATAATCAGTAGGAGATTCTAGGTGCTTATATACTATATTGTACCCAATGTATGCTGCAAAAGCAGTTTGCCATAAGGGTCAATACAATTATTATTAAATTCGTTATTCTTTGTTTATTAATAGAATTCACGCTGGTACGTGGGCTTTTTATAAAAAAAAATATAATTTATCCTTTACATGTTCTCAGCTTTCTTTTCTGTATGAGAAAAATTTTCTTTTATTCGCACAGCACGACTTGCATACATAAGAACTTTACTCAGGTGTGAACTCAAGTATTTTATCTTTTCATAAGAAATTATTAAACTGATTTGAGTAAAGCCGTTCGCTTAACAAATTCTTTTGCTAAAATTGTGTAATGATTTTAATTAATTTTTCTATTCTTATAAGAGATCCTTTGATGAATCTTAATGAAAAAATTTACTCGTACTTAATAATAAATCAATTTGAAAAGTTAGCTTTGGATTTGTCAAATCTTTATACTCTTGAATGAGTTATTATTAAATTTAAAGCAAAAATGTAAGATAAAGTTATATTAGACAAAAGTTTTATAGGATATTTGCGAATAATTTCGTGCATATAAAACCTTCATCTTTCTTAATTCACCAAATGTAACGACTATCTTCGGGTCACCACGGCAGACGAGACACCTTTCAGTTACATTCTCTGTAACTGTCCTGGCCCAGACAAGAGGAAATCACTAGGTCGAGAATTACTTTCCCATTCTGACACTAGGAGGTCCTCAACGGCTGTCATTTTGGCTTTTATTGGAAGGACGGAATGTCTTTTGTTCGATTAGTGTCTGTAGCAGCACAAAAGATCAATTATAGACGGTACCCTGTCTCTTTCCTATCATATCCTAACGACTATCTCCAGTACTGTTGTGTTGATGTTTCACAGCATTAGTCGAAACAATCTTATTTTATGTTGCTTTGGCGTTGTGGATTGCAGTAATAAAGCATACTTTAAGCCAAAGAAAGAATCCTGCGCCTGGTTGCGATATTTATAATGAAAACTTTGAAGACTATTAGACCTAAATTTTTTTAGACCTAAAAGTTTGGAGACCACAAACTTTAGCCAATATTATTAAGACACTGTGTACTTTGCTATGGCACCAAACTTAGTTATATGCGAATAGGTCCGTCATAAAAAATCTCACTAATAGAATTTTGGAAAAATCTAAAAAAGGGATTAATGATATTAAATAATTTTTCCTTTTGGTTTAAGTGATTATGTGCAATATTTTTCTAGTACCAATAATAATTTCAATTTCTAGTTTATCCAATCATATCATTTTGCAAAAAACTTCAGTAACCAGTTAACAAAACGCTTGATTAGTTAATTATGATTTTTGTATCAACCTATAACAGATTTATAATGTTAAGTTGTATATTTTAACATTCTTCTAGTTTTCAGCACCCAAAATGAATGAATGTAATTTGCTTTCTCGTTTCTCAAAAAGTTAAACAAATAACCCAAACTTATTTAATAGAAATTATCTAACTAGATCCGTTTCAATAATTCAATTCAATAAAATGATTAAGAAGAATTAATAATTGCTTGAATAGTTTACTTTGTAAATTTGAACATCAACTCCGGCCAAACTTTCCAAATCACTTAATCCAACCAGACGCAATTTTCTGTATTTATCAACTTTGACAAAACTTAAGACGACTTTAATTTCACTTAAACAATTATTGCCAAAACTTAAAGCCCATTTAATTGGATAGAATTGTTCCCTAAAGAATTAAGAAATATTTGAAATATGTAATCCTTAAAACTCTGACAATTCAGACAGGCATTCCATGCACTCGCCAACTTTTGATGAAAAGTAAGGCTTAAAAGGATTTGAACATTTGTTCACGTTTTACTTAAAATAATTTTACAACAAAAACGTATTACTCACTTGTCGCATGGCGGTCAAAAATCCTTGTGGATTAAAGAATCCTGTCATCCAGAAAACCTTTTATTGTCAATTAAAATGTGCAACAGATTATGAAAAAGAGAGAAAAGAGGATAGCTTTTTAAATATAAAAACCAATTAGCGGTATTGTTAAATGAACTTCAACTGTCAACAGAAAAATTAAAATATTTTAAAAGAAATTAAATTCTTTTAAGGAAAAACAGTCGGAATATTGTGCGTTACTTACTTTTGGCCGATCCGTTGAAATCCAAGTACGAAATTGTCCATTTCGCTCCAACAATTCAGTGTACCAAAAGCCCAATGTTGTTGACTCCCAGGATATCTGCGGATGACAATGTTAAAGTCGCAAGTAAATAAAATAACTTTATGTGAGCTTTTGACACACATTTAAAAATGTTTTTGGTTGTTGGGCAGCTGCGATGAAACTTAACTTTTGTTGGGAAAATGTCCTTAAAATTGTTTGAATTTCATACTTCAGATATTTAATAGTTTTTCTTTTTTTCCTTACAAATAAGCAAAAAATATACGAAATTCGAAATATTTTGCACTTTGTCCTCATTCAAGTGATTAAAGATTTAAAATATTAATTATTTCAGTAAAACTGTGACAGTTTTTAAAAAGAAATCGCAAAAAATTTAAAAATAAAGAGGAAAAATATTTTGTATAAAAAAACAATTAAATTCAATGTTTTTGTTTAAAAAAAAATTTTTAAAGAAATTTCAAAACTTTTAAATTGGCCATTAGAAGTTATAATGACAAATCTCAGGTAGGTGTGTAGTTATAAAAGAGAAAGCAAAATGTTTTTTAAATTAATATGGAAAATAATCTTAAATTCAAAATGAAAAAAAAGTTAAAACAATTGCTTTCTTTTAAAGAAAATGTCCTTTATGAATAGATTTACTGAAAAACATTTAAGTAACTCTTTTAATATGTTTGTGATTACCATCGATTAACTTATCGAAATACTTCAAAGTAACTTTTGTTTGATATATACAGCACAACTATTGTACTCGTATTATTCTTCAGTACTAATAGAAGATGTGATTATTTAATATAATTAAATATTTTTATACAATAAATTCATTTTACTTTGTTTACAAGACTCAGAAAAATATTTCGAAGTGAACGTTGCTATTTGCTTTATTATTAATTTCCAGCAAAGTTTTAAGTTTTTCCATCAGTATATATAAACACAATTAGTTCAATATTTATTGAAAAATTCCAACAAATTACCCATTTATTTTAAATTATTAATAAGCTTTTATATTAAAAGATGTGTATTCAACACAATAAATTACAACCTTATTTTTATAATAAAATCATATTTATAACAATTTTAATGCATATTACTCAAAAATAAATTTAGTACTATAATAAAGCACTTAGCAATGAATACACTTCTTTAAGTAGTTCAGTTAACGAGTCATTTTCTTTAACTAATTTAGTACATGTCTAGGTAGTTCTGAAGAATTTAGTAAATAAAGACTATTATCTATTATTTCGAAACGCTATACGTCAGTCTTAGTAATGACGACTGCTGAAGTGTTAGTCAGTGCATTGTCTTGATAAAGCCAAAGATGCCTCTCTTATAAATGGGAGCATTGATAATTTAATGTCATATCTTATAATGATTCATGAAAACATTAGTTATTTTACTACCATGTTCCGGGAAAATCAGCTACAGGTCATTCTCATCCTAGAAAACAGTACCCATTAACAACTAACAAAACAGTTTCCACTGTCATCTTATTTTGCCACTTGTTTTTTAATTAACTTTAATATTGTTGTTTAATTTATGGACTATAAAACATCCATCCTGATTTCCTAAAAGTGTCTAAGAAATGTGGAATAGTTTGCATTTTCATTTCAAGCTCAATCAAATGCGACGAAAATATCTAAAGCAGTATTTTTGTAATGTGATTAATTGAAACATCACAGCCTTAGTAACCATTTTTATTTTTATTTGATGACTACTTATTCCCTTTTGATAAATATTTTGGACGCTTTTTTTTTGATGTTTTCATCATATGGAATTTTTCTTATTAACTGACTAAAAACACTACTTCTCTATTCTTTTTTTTTATTGCTGGGTATGATAAAACAGAGTCCTCGTAAGCCTCACTAAGAGTTACTCTGCGATGCAACTGCGATTTTTTTTTTGTAAGTACAAAAAACCAATTGACATCTTTCAAATTCTCCATCCCTATCTTATTGCTGGATATGATAGAGCAGAGTCCCCGTGAGCTTCACTTAGAGTAACTCGGAGATAAGATGCATTTTTGATTTTTTGTTTTGTAAATACAAAAAATCAATTGATCTCTTTCGAATCACGAAATTACTAAAAGTAATTTTAAAAGCATTAGTTAAAAAATTATTTTAATCAGATTCTGACGCAAAACCTTTAAAATCTTTACGTATAAGCAAAAAAATTAGTATAATTTGTTTTAATATTAATTCATTTAATGCAGCAAATTTCAAACTACCTTTTGTATGAAATTTAAAATTTCTTATTAAATAGCTTATGTACAATTATTGTATTTGTATTATTTTGCAGTATATTCTTTAAGGTATATTATTTGCTTTATAGCCTCAAAAAAAATAGAGGCCCTGTGCTCCAATGGGAGATACAGGAATTGTAAAAATAAATTTTTTTTGTTGCAATTCACTACTTTTCGAAACCTCTTTACTATGTAGAAATTGAATAAAAGTTCGCTCACCTAACTGACCGCATGTCAACTCAGCAATTCTGACTACCAAAAAGTCTACTGATATATACACCAGTTAGATAAGTGTAACTAATTTGACATATTTATTAAAGGACTTCTATCTATTTGAACAGTTTTATTGATTATTATGAAATATTAATAAAGTTTTCCTTAAAAACTTGCTATTTTCAGCAGAAGCCAACCAAAAATTGTATAGTTTTTGCAATTCGAAGTACATATTTAGCCTCTGATAAGTTACAAAGTAAATTTGTTCGCAATGCTATAAATATTAAGAAATACGAAAGGAAGTATATAAAAAATAAATGGGCTTGACTCGAAAAGTAAAAATAATAATCATGTTAATATATCTTACAAGGAAATTGCCGAAAATGTTAACAACTTGTAAAGTCTTCAGCTGCAAACATTTCAAATTAATTACTTTGAGGTACGTGACGTAAATAAAACATTTATTTTGAGGAAGTAATTGCGTACTAGAGCTATTATTGACCCCCAAAGTACCCATACATGCACTCCATCAATGTGAGCAGCGAATGATTTATGCATGAAGTTGTAAATGTTACTGGCTCATTAAATTATGTTTATTATTGGTAGTAACACTTGTTGCATTCGTTCGCTTTGTGAGCAAATTGACCAAATACCAGGAAGAAACGAAAGGAAGAAAAAAGGACCTCCATCAAGCATATTAAGCATTTTTTAAAATCATTTTGTAGTACATTTAACCGCAGGCCAACATTTTTACTACCTACTAACAGTTTTTGTAGCAACAAGTAAGTGAAATACTATGTGCTTTGTGGGAAAAAATATATCTGAAAGTTCAGTTTGAAGGGAATTTCATTCGTAAGTTAAAAAAAATATTACTTACACGTCTGTGAATACATGAATACACCTTTGAGTTTGATATGCGGTAACGCATAAATTGAAATGCTTAACAAAACCTCAAAGGAATACAATTATTTGCACAAATATTAACACTTCAACCAAAATAAATAAATAAAAAAAAAATTAATTTATTTGTAAAAAATATAAAAATCATGAGAATTTTTCTACCCGCTATAATCTCCGTTCCTCATCAGAAAAAATAATTTTGTTAAAAAAATTTTAAAAAATATAACATCCATTTCTTCCTTTTCGGTTATATGTAATGAAGCGACTCATTGTGGGCGTTAAAGCAAATAAAATCTGAAGAACACTCCACAAAGGACCTTGCCAATATATATGAAAAGCTGTTGAAGGATATAAAAAATGAATTGAAACACTTAGCCACGTTTCACGTTTTGGATTAGTACACATCAATAAACTTATCAAAAAGGTGAATGGAAAATTTATATTGAAAGCAATAAAAAAATTTATTGAAATTGTGCCGTAAAGGTGATGAAGGATTTGAATTTGAAATAAATTGAAAGAATTTAGAATGTAAACTAATTGCGAGGAAAATTGTAAATTGACCACAGCAAAAAACAAAACAGGACAACAAAAAATATCCATTTTTTATTGTAGAACTTAAAGCTAAATTTGAATGAATCAGTTAACCCATAAAAAGCAATTAATCAAGGATTAAACCTGTTACATTGTGTTAACAAGGTTAAAATTAAGTTATTTTAAATGAAAATATTTTGGGTCCTGCGAAATCCTTTTCATAATTCTAGCATTTTTAACACAATAAAATGTAAGTCTCATAAAAAAACAGCACGATTCAGAGAACAGAGTGTCATACAGCTTTTATTAATTCAAATATTTTTCTTCACACACTTGAGGATTACTTTATCGCATATAGAGGACTATTTTTATATTATTACTATTTATATTTATATTAAGATGATAAATCAACTGAGTATTACTTCATGAAACATATGGAACTGTATTTGTTTATATATTAGAAAATATGTAAAATTTTTCCTGACACGTAAGCAATTAAAGTAAAGTCAAGAAGAAATTAAAAGTCATATAGGAGAACTTAGATTCCATAGATTTACGAAGTTCATAAGTTTAGTTACAACTTTGTCGATCGCAATACTACTACTATACATGGTGTAATCCAGAATTATCAAAAAATTTCAAACTGCGCGCGTTGTTTTTTGAGTTAATTGTTATGTATTGGTTGCACTGTTAGTAATGTATGTACCATACTAACTAACATGCAATAGCCAAGCTTATTTTATACTTAACATACGAATTAGCAAAACATACACTAATGCGTTTGGCTATTGAAGATGTATTGGTTTGTAAAAATATTAAATAATGTCTTTCCCTTTAATACTGTACAAATATCATAAACAGTTTAATAGTGAAAGATAGTAAAAGTGATAATATGTTCAGACATCATAACAGATTGTTTTTGAAAAAAAACCTACCATTTAAAGAGGTTGCGGAAAAAATAAGAATGTCACACTAATCATTTAAAATGATTTTTACTAATGTTTAGGACATGAAATGTGTGACAGCAATATTTGTTCTCAAACTACTGAACACCATTTTGCGTATCTAACAGTTCGTGGCGACAAAAAACATTTAAACGTGACACTCTTCAACATTTTTTATTTACAAATTAAAAAAGACACTCAAAGGACAACATTTTTCAACAATGGACGACATAACAGCGAAATAGTAGAGCTACCATTGCAACAGTATTTCTCAAACTTGAAACTGCTCTGCATAATATAAAAAGTAGGATAATTTGAAGTGGATAAAATAAACACAGAATACCAGTAAATAACTTCTAAAAATTTTGTTAATCAATGGCTATATGATTCGAATCCACTCACTAAAATCCCCCGTGTTTTATTATTTTATTTTATTATTTATTATTTTATTAGTAAGAGGTATGCTTTATTATAAAAGCGGAATATTTTAAACAAATAATTTTATTACTCCTCTAAAATATATATCCTTTCTTTATCTCTTTAAACTATTATATCCTTCACACATATAAAAAATGTAATTCTAAATCATTAATTTGTATGATTAATTTACACATATACTAATAAACAAACTTTTGGCAATATCAAATAAAACTCCATATGATATATGATCTTCTTCTTATTTGGCACTACAGTCCAGTGTGAACCTTGATCTACTCACATCGATAGCGTACTTAATGCACTTATAATTAATCAATTTTAATGATTCAGTTTAAACAGTAAAAACTGAAAAGAGTTTATAGTATTCCTAATAATTTGATATGTCACATTTTGTTCTAATCTCAAACAGAGATATGTGACGATATCGGGTAATTTTTATAATTTATCTATTCTCTGACGTTAATCAAGCTAAGAGTATTCAAAATAATTATGTCAGATATTAAAAATATGTTTATTTAAACATAAACTTACCTGTACATTAATAATGATTTTAATAACAAAGAGCAAAATTTATATAAACCTTACGTATCACCTACAACCAAAATGAACTCCCTAACATATTAATAACATCTTTGTGATCCTTATTCTAATCTTAACTACGATATTTTTTGTTGCTCGATTTTGCACGTGTTGCACAGCCACAGAGTACATGTGCAGCTACACGCATTTTATACTTAAAATAGCACAAAAATTACCTGCAAATATCAAAAGTTTGATTTTCGATTGAAACTTCAAATCAAAGATGAATTTGAGGAAGTAGTAGAAGTGCAGTACAGTACAATCAATATAAACCTACACACATGGCACTGCACTTAAAGCACAACAATAACAATTTTCAATAAGCGCCACTTAGTGTACTTTTATGCTGCATTGCATTTTGTCACGAAACTCAATTTAATATAGAAAATATTTTCAATTTGCTTACAATCTATATCAGAAGCAGCAATCTCACCTTCATCCAACTTTCTGGTATGCGCGCATCGTACATAGCATCTAAGGACTCCTTCAGTGCGGGACTCATTACAATTGTGCCATCAATTGCCAATTTCAAATCACACAGGCACGAATGCACTCTTTTAATAACTTTTTGCATGCGATCGATCTCTTGCCTATTAAAATTTTAATCAATTCATCAATAATTGAAAATTATTACTGAACAAAGATACTTAATAAACTGAATACGTGCATCCATGTTTCATACCGAATACCGAAGCATCGAGACTCATGTGCACATGTGTGCCTAAGGATACGTACCTAAGGAAAATGTTCATTGGCAGTAAAATGCCCATCCGCGTCAGGTTCTCACGCACCTCATATGCATTGTACTGTGCCGGTAGCTTTCGCAGCATGTCATCAGCCAATTGATATACAATACTCTCCCGTGTTTCGCCACCACCACCACCGCCCTCTTTGGGTTGTACGCTCAAAATTGTATCCAAAATGCCTGTTTTAATAAAATTAATAACAAAAGCGTCGTGTAAATTTATCAGAGTTTTGAAAATTCGCCTAATTGTTTCGTGTAGGCGTGCCTCGTTTTTATGGCGTTATAACCCAAATTTATTCTATCAACACGGTTTGTTGGATGAGGTCAATCGTGTGCACTTTACGCCATTGAATTCAGTAGTCAAATTAAATTTGTTTAAATTAAAGCATTAGCATATTAGAGATATTAAATTTAAAGTACTAAAAAATTAATGCTTAGTAAATTAACAAATATTTAACATATATAAAATCTATAATATAGCATGCAAACTGCAACTTCTGTAAATATGAAATGGAAAATAAAAAATACATACATAACCTTTTATTAAGCGAAGATTCGCGAAATTTTGGTAGTACATTTCTGATTACCGACACATTGAACTTGTAAAGCAAATTATGCGTTATATGCACAAAAACAAGACTACGGTTCACGTATATATCTAATATTATAATCTGAGAATACTTCAACGATTTTCACTATTACTATATCTTTTAATTATATGACACACATAGTTATATTATAAAACGGGTCACTTTAATAACTAAGAAATTAATAACCGAAATCTTCACATTATCAGTGAAAGTAACTATGCACTATGAATTAACCTACTGTAATCAATAGAGTTTTTCAGTTAAACTTGGTTCAAAAAAACAATCAAGGACAGTATGGAAATAAAAAGATCTGATGATAATGTCACCTATAAACAATTATATCAAGTTTCTGTGTAAGAGTACGTAATAAAAAACAAGTGAAAAAAGTTTTTAGATTTTGACTGCTAGATCAAATTTAATTCTAAATAAATTAAAACGCAATGCTATTATTATATATTTTTCACCTGTTGCAATGTAACACAAGTCAACATCGTCAACAAACCAAATAACCCATTATATGTAACTTTATTATAAAGAAAAATATTATTATGTATAATACCAAAAGTATTTGTAAGATAACTTATGCGATCAGGGACCGAAAATAACAGTTCTTTCAAAATTTTTAGTGAAAAAAGCAGCGACAAAAAGTTGTCTAAACTCATATTTAAGTATAGAGTTATCATTCTAACAACTTTTATCCTCAATATTATTAATATATTTTATATGTAATATATAAAAATTTTAAAATAAAACTAAAAAAATAATAATTAAATTTGCTTTATTTTTGTGCTTTTTATTTTTTCGCGCAAATGTAACTGTAGGGAATCACAAAAACAACTAATTTGTATGAAAATTGCATTTTATATTACGTTTTAAAAATATTCAGCAGAAATTTCCAGTTATTCATGACTTTCATATTTATGACGCAAAAGTAACAGTTATTAGTGCGTTTTAAAATAAAAAGCAGAATTTTTTCCTTTGCGCGAAAAAATAAAATGCACATAAAATAATTATTTTTGAGGAATGTAATATAAAGCAAATTTAATTATTATTTTTTGAGTTTTATTTTAAAATGCGAATGATAATAAAATGTGATTTTTTTTTTTATGATAACTATTACTGTCCTTGTATGCGATACGTTTATTAGTTACGTTTATTAATCAAAGATCAAATCTTCACCTAATCCATCAGAACAGTTTTCAGATGAAGTATTCAACAAGCGAACAATTGTTTACAAATATAAGAATAAAAATAATAACAGATATTAAAGGAAAAACTGAAATAAAAAGAATAACAATAATAAAATAAAAAGAATAAAAAGGATAACAGATATAAAAAGTATATTATATATTATCGAAAAATACCTAGAAGATGAAAAATTTGGCCTTCTGTATTTCTGGAAACAGCTTTCACATTTAATAAGGTTTGATCCGGAACCTTGGCCCACTAGTAAAATATTTTAGAACTTACTTGACCAACCGATTGCTCCGTAGCAAACATAAAAATAATTTTTCCTACTGTACACTTTCGATATATCATCACTCGTAAATTTGATTGTAACCACATTTGCATATGACACTGCAATGTCCACAATTAGAAATACAGAAGCAATATCAACAATGCAACCATGACCTTAACACTTGGACAATGTACCAACTGTTATCACTGATGAAACAAAATTCTCATCAAGAAACGCGTTGCCACCGCACAAATAAAGTAGCTTTAAGTTTGGTTAATTTAAAAACCAATTGTTACACATCATACCCCCTTAAATAGTCATGGGAATCTTGAAGCAATTCTGATGAATATGTTGATTCGTTATATTTTAATTAATCGATATAAGCATTGTAAGTATTATAAGTACTATAATTATTTACAAGTATTTTTATATTGATTTAATACATAAAAAATATTTATTGTTTTTTATTATATCAGTTCTTTCTAAATTCTTCTACTATCTGTAGAGTCTGCAATTTAATAGATTTAAAAATGCTGCATCATCTTTTTTTGTATATGTTAATAATTGAAAAAAAACTTAGCATCTTTTAAATATCTCTAATTTTTACTATGAAATCGAAAATATGTTCTAACCTTAAAATATTGCAGTTCACTAGTTAGTTTTCACTCCATTGTATAAGTGTATGTGAACCTAATAAGTCTGTTTTGTAAATGCTGTAAATAATGCTTGGTTGAGTACCCACTTTAGTCGACACATCATTTTTATCAACTTAACCCTCATTTCCACATAAGAACCTTTTTTATTCGTTTCGTTCTGTCATGTGGTGCACTTTTAGCTTTAAACAAAAATATTTTTAAATAACCCAAAAAATGAGAGAATAATAGAACCGACAGTATTGGGATTCAAAACGTAAAGTAAGTCAAAGTACAGTGATTCGTTTTTCCCAAAATAGCTACACGTGTTCCATATATCAACTGTAGTTAAACTTGCTTGTATTTTTGCCACTTACCTTTCGCTGAATTAATCTGATATGTAATATCCGCATTTGAGTGCAAGCCAAAAACTTCTGGCGTATCATAAGCTGGTAAGCTATTAATATAATCAATAAATCCTTGTAAATTCTTTGTGCTTGGTACTTTATATCCTTTATAAAACTCAAAAGAATTCGTCAACAAAGCCTCACAAAACCAAACAGCTGTAAATGTTGTCAGCAGACGTTTGTCAAAGTCATCAGTTACACGTCCGCCATACTGCACTTCACCAATCATGTATACTAATGTCTGCCAAGAGACACCCTTCTTGGGATCCATTTCATCAAGATGATTTTGTACGAATTGCACGCTAGCAGCAAAATCAGCTTGGTTAAACTCATATGGGACATTCCAACCAAGTGGGCCAAATTTTCGTCTCTCCTGCACTATGGTATGTAAAAAAGCGACAGTGTAAAGCAGCGGTGGCCATTGTGGTGCGGAAGTGTAATCAAGAAAATCTTGAGTGAACGACTGTAAATATCAAATTTGCGCATAAAAACGTTTGCAATGTAAACAAATTTTGACTAACGAGCCATATACCTGATAACTACGCTTCATGCTTGCCCTTATGCCTTGTGGTGGTTCATTCGTAAATTTAATTGCCATTTGCAACAAACCAATTGGAAAATCTGTATGCGGCTCTGTTGTGACCCACATGCGAAATGTTTCATCAATGTGTTCTGTCTCGACTAACATATCAATAATTTCCGCACAAAATGGTAGCGAAAGGTGTACATTTTGTAGCAATACCCAACCACCACCAGCCATTGATTCCAATATCATTTTGCGCGCATGAAATTCCTGACCTTGACCCATTGAAACGCTTTTAAGTGCTGTGTACGAAAGCAGCTTATTAATGGGATTTTTCTGTGGCTGAAAAAGCAAATTAGCTTTAAAATCATTTTTACTTACGTATGGTTTTCTGTTTTGCTAATGCCCCAATTTGCGTGGTAGGATCGGAACCTATAGATAATAAGCAAACAAATGGTGTACGCGGTTCAGATTCAAGCCAAGTAGCTTCAAGATCTAATATTTGCATTTCTCCATATTCGGAGCCAAGTGATTCTGTTTCAGTTAGATGAAAAATGATATTAACAACTGAGTAATTCCTTTAAAAATCTAATATACCCTCAATATAACGTTTAGCCTGCGAAATAGTACGATCTGGACACCATGAACGTATTAATAGTAACTTTCGAAAACCATCTAGAGAGATCTGGTAACCGCAGGGTATTTCTTCACTTTCCGGCTTCTCTGCTTCATACCAAACTCGCCATTCTTTCTCATTTAATTCAATCTAAAATTGTTAACAATAGAAAAAATGAAAGTTAAGTTGAGTTCGTAAATATCTAAAAATCTTACAATATGGTACATATATTATTAACTCAAAATGGTTGTGTTTGCAATATCTCTACAATGTACGAGAGCCTACTTACCATTTCTAGTACATTGGAAAATGTTTCCAATTTACTAATCTCAACTAAATTAAGCCATGTTATATCTAATATCCAGCGAAAAGGTTTTGGTGTAACAGCATTGAGATCCAAGGATGCACCGCCCTTTATAAATGCCATGAACTCCTCATGACTGATGATGCCATTGTGGTAATCAATCTTAATGGCAAGCATCAATGTAAAGAGTTGCTTATGTCGCTCATATAAACTGCGATTGGTAAACTTATATACTTCATAAGTTAAATAACGTAAAATAATGTTAATGCGCTCCTCAGTGACACTTGATTTTGTAGATTTTGTAATAGAATTGTTGAATATAACTAAAAACTGTTTTAAAGAGTTCTGGTACATTACATTTACATTACTCATTTCAACAATTAGAAAATAAAGTATAGAGCCTCTTGCTGCCACTGCACGAAACTCTTCACGTGCTTTCATAATTTTCCTTTCAGTTACTTCAGATATTTTTAACTTCTGGTTTACCTCTTCAGCTGTGGTTTTAGTTACACGCAAAACCTCAATAAGTGCCTCATCATCTACCAGCGAACCCTGTGAGGAACTTAAGCGATACAATAGATTACCTTCCAATTCCTTCATGTTGCGTTGATTTTGCATAACAGTTTCAAAGAGTGCTACACGTTCTGCTTCCAATTCTGATTTTTCCATTAATATAACACGACCTAATAACTGATCTTCTAAACCACGCATAGTTACTGTGAAATCTATAATTGAAGTTTTTGCGCTCACTTCTGGACTGAATGGTGGATTCGGTAATTTTGTTGTTATGTATAGCATAAATCCAGGCATGACATCACATTCCTTATCACCAACCAACACCTTCTCGATACTGCCAGACTTAATAAAATTTTTCTCCAGCACATTATCAATAACGGGATCCAATTCTGTGCCTACATCTTCGATTAATAGTGGACGACCCAATGACAAAGAGTCCTCTAAATGTGTACGGAAATATTTATGATTAAGTGATGTGATTTGTAACTCATTTTGATCCTCTTTTGATTTTATCCAAATTTTGCCTTGTGTTTGTGGATCAATTAAAAGTGGGTAACTACTTGATTTAGTAGCTATCAAAGCATTTTGCACTGATAACTCATCATTTGGTAAGCCCTGCAAAGTCCATTCAGACACTGTCGATGAGTCGACTAACATACTTATTAGATTTAAGCCTGTGGTAAATGGTATGCTTTTGTGCTTAAGTATGCCCATCCAAGTTTTAATCAGATTTGCACGAAACTCTTGATTATATGGACCACAATATGAAAGAAATCCGGTAGCTAATAACACATCACCAACTAGCTTTCCCAGTTGAATTTTAAACTCTTTGCTTTGATTTGTCCAACGATGCTTTTCATCCGAGAGACCATTAATGAGCGCAGTAGCTGCAGTCATCTTACGTAAGCATACATTGGCTGCATCTGTTAAACGCTGCTTTTCACCTACTGCCTCGTCGTACTGATTCTTAACAGCTTGCAGTGCTTCTTCTCGTTCACGTAATTGCTCTTCGGCACCGGCTAGATCGTCCATAGCAAGCTAAGAAGAAATTATTGTGATAATGTTATAAGTTCTATACATTTTTTTATAGAAGTTTATTTAAACAAAATATCTACTCAGATA